ACAAAAGAATATTTAAAAAAGGAAATATGTAAAGTAATTCAAATATTTGTTACAAAAATCACAAGCTGTATTCTGTAGAAATGAAAGCAAGTAAAAGAGTTGATAAAACTATATATTAGAGTTTTCTGATTACAGGGGGAAACTTGACACAAGACAAAGTCTTGTGTTTTGAAGGTGATACTTAAAGAGGTTGAAACCAAAAGCTTTAGGTCATCTACTATAAATAAATAAATAAATGTAAATATTCATTTTTGAAATATTAGAAATAGAGTACATTTAATTAAAGTATATAATTTTATTTAGTCATTAAAAAAGCTGATGTTTGGGGGGAAATATTTGAGACTTTATTTTTGGAGATTTAAAGTAAGTATCTGTCAGTTGTTAGCTCTTTAAGTGTGACCAAAGCTATTTTAATATGGATCTGATACATGGATTTATCTATACTACTAATATTAGAAAACAGTGGTAGCAATTTGAATTATCACTTGCTTACTTAAGTGAGCATAGTTTTCAGATGCCAAGGCGAACAGAAAAGTAAAGAAAATGGAGCATCCTCTCTGGTATTATTGTTTTAAAGCTTGTTCTTTCATTCTGTATCACTTTGTTACATTTTATTGCTGTCAGTTTCTGTCCCTGAACCGTGCAGTAGCAGCTTCATTCACTGAAGTTCTGAAATAGTTATGAGTACTTTCAACATTCTATTAGCTAAACCATTCTACTGTACTGTTGAGGTGCAATGGATCTTTTTTTGGCCCACTTCTGATTTATCTAGGCTTTAATGCTAATTGCTTAATGTTTATTTAGCTTAGATCAAAGAAGTTTGTCTCTCTATACATTTTAGGTATTTGTTACAGAGAAAGTGAAAGTGTCTTAAATGTAATATGTATCTTAGCTTAATTATTGAACATAGCAAATGCTATTCAGACCAGACCAGAAGTCAATTACTATTTTTAAGCCAAAATAAAAATTTAAAAATCTTTAAAAATACACTCACACAGAACTCAGTTCTTCAGGGCATAATTTTTCATGGTCAATTTGTTGGCTAGAATTTATGCTTAACTAGATTTGCTTTAGTATACTTAACAGGTATCCTTGTTACAGTAGAATTAGCAAGCACTGTATTACCCTTTTATCTAAATCATGTTGCTACATTAGTAGATTAATGAAAGCTTGAGATATATTTGTCTTCTACTGGTAAAAGTCATTAAGAAAATGGAACTGTTATTTTGTTTTCCAAAGAATCTGGTACCTCTAACCTGGTTTGTCTTACCTAATTTATCTCCCCAACTTCCCAAACTAGTTCAAGCTTCAGTTGTTGTGGCCTAGACTTTTGCAATATCTCCTTAACTGGTCTCCCTCCTACTTTTGTCCATTCTCCGTGAAGCAGGCAGAATCACCTTCAAAAAAAATCTCAGATCTTGTTACCCATTTTAAAAATTCTACTTTCACTTAAAGCCCAGACTTTTTAAATGCAGGTCTCCGAGACTCTTAACAATCTTGCCTTTGCTTCACTCTCATGCTACTCTCCTTCATTGATTTCTCTACAAGTAGGCCCTGATTTGGGAAATATCCTCATTACCGAATGTATTTACTCATTTGCTTTCCTGTTTCTCGAAAGAAAGCTTCTTGAAGGCATGGGATTTGTCTTATTTGTTCCTCTCTCTCCAGCAGCTAGAACAGACTTGGCACAAAGTAAGCATTCAAGTGTCTGTTGAATGAGTTCCTTTTTCCAAATGACTCCTCTCATTCATAAAAATGTGATCATTCCCCTTTTCTCTCTTTTTAAAAAAATTTTATACTTTTATTAGTGCATTATAGTTGTACATAATTGTGGGGTTCTTTGTGACATATTCATACGTGCATGTACCATAATTTGCTCTATTTCATTCCCGCATACTTCCCCTTTCCCTCCTTCTCATCTCCTTCCTCAATTCTACTGGTTTTCCTTCTATTTATTTATTAATTTATTTTTAATTGGTGCATTATAATTATTCATAGAATGGGATTCATTGTGATACATTTATACATGCACATAGAATAAATAATTTGGTTGATTTCATTTCACAGTCTCTCCCCTTTCCCACCCTTCCTCTACTGGTCTCCATTCTATTTTCATGAGATCCCCTTTTGAAAATTCCTAATTTCCCTTTAGCTTCTGCATCATTCTCCTTTCTTAAATCCAGGCTCATGTAGTCATTGTTATGATATGAAGGAGTAGCATTCTTCCAATTCTCTCCTTTTGTGTCCTTAGCTCATGTGTGTGTGTCCCCATCCCATGTGATGCTGGGGATTGAACTCAGGGCTTTGAGCATGCTAGGCAAGTGCTCTACCACTGTGCTACATCCCAGCTCCTTAGAGTTGCTTGGGGCTGGAGTTGTGGCTCAGTGGTAGAGCACTTGCCTGTCATGTGGGAGGCACTGGGAGATTTCTGTGTTCTGGCAGTAAAAGTAGACCAGTGAGTTAGGATGACAATGCCATGTCTAGTTCATGTTTTGGCTGCCAGGAATTCTAGTCCTTGTCAAGAAATCAGCTTTTCCTTGAAACATCAGAGGCTTTTCTAGAGTATGGAAGTGGTTGAGGAATGATTCTTTAGCTGTAGAGTAGGTTTGAGTTTAAGAGACTTCAGGTATAAGCTGGCATTTATTTTAGGGGAAAAAAAGCCTTTTAAGGTAATTTTAAAGCCTTATTGCTTTCCATTCTGACCTTTGTTGGAATACTATTTAAAGAATAAACTGCTCCAGTTTCAATTACACTGTGTTTACATATAATGTATCTAGATGATATTCTGCGGCTCAGGATGTTTGAATACATAGAGTTCATTCTGCATAGTCTGTTCTGTACATAGAGTCTTCTATATCATGCTCACACATAAATTGAAACCTGCTTTCTACTGTCTTTTTGCTCCTTTGGCACCAGCTTGGCACGAGTGTTGATCTGGTTTGAAGGAGAGGGATGGGTTGTAGCAGTGGAACAGCCTTTGTCCTGTATCATCTGCATATGATCAGTGAAATCTTCCTTCTACAAATACTAAAGATTATTAGTTACAAATATAATTCCACGGTCACCCTTGCCTCCTCCATGTATTCTAATTACAGTAACTTAGGAAGGGCCAACAATTCTTCTTAATAAAGAAACAAATAAAAAGGAGGCGTTAGTTCTTTTGTCACTTGGTGCAGCAAGGGGTATCTGTTACCAAAAAAAAAAAAAAAAAAAAAAAGAAAGTAGGCAATATGGCTAAAAGGGTGGTAACTGGAACCTCAGAATGTTATTTTTGCTTCATGATTATCAGGACTTTACTGTCATTTGGAACTAGAAGTTTACAAGATGTGATGAAAAGACAAAGGAATTTGTAGACTGGATAAATCTAGATAATTTGTTCTATAGTAATGAATTATATTTTTCATGGATGACCTACTTAGAAGCTGGGAGTCTCAGAACTGTAGCATGTGGTGTTGAACTGATGAATCACAGGCCTCTGTCTTTGGTTGTAATTGTGGCTTTGCTTTTAGTAGATCACTTCAATATTTCTCAGGCAAAATAGAAGAAATAGAGAACATTAAATAACTGGCTGAGAAAGAATAATTTTTTTCTTTTCTACATTAATATTAATACTTACATCAAGTATTTACTTCAAATGAATTTATATTGTACTTTATTTCATTATAAAATTTTATTTGTAATAAATTATAGATTTTATTATTAAAATGTTTATATATAATATTTGCACTACAATCTTTATGTTAAATATAACATTTATTTAGTATAATAATTTAAGAAGAGCTTGGAATTTTATGCCCTTATGAAAATGATTTTTTTTCTGGAGCAGTTAAAAATATGCAGAAAATATACTCATAACTGCCATTGTTAAGGACCTCTTTTTTTTTAAATTATAGATTATAGTAACTGTCATTTCAGTGCCCCTCCAAAAAGTTGTAGGTAGACACAATTTATTTATTATTATGCAGTTCTGAGGATCAAACCCAGTGCCTCACACATGCCAGGCAAGTGCTCTACCACTGAGCCACAACTCCAGCCCCAAGGGACCTCTTTTAGATTGTAGACTGACTTACGTGGATTTTAAAATTTGATAGTCTAAAATGTTTTTATTACTGTTAGGGTACTTCTCAATTAAAATTAGCTTTAAGAGGCCTATTTTAATTCTAAACATACTGCTACATTATTTCTTTTGTAGTCTTACAGGGTTATAGGTAGGCCATAAGGGAAATAAAAAGCCCTAGTTTAGATTCATTGAGCATTTCTTAAGTAAATTATATCTTTGTAATCCTTCATTAAAGTAACTATCATTTCAATGCCCTATAAAAGTAAAATTATTGATGAAATGTGCTCATATATTCCTAAATTCATTGTAATCCATCTCTCTTGTTCTAATTTTGAACTTTTTTAAAAAAGGAAATCACTCTTTATGTGGAAGATTCATGTTCTTTAATTTTTTTATTTTTAGCACTGTGAATTGAACACATGGGTGCTCTAGTATTGAGCTACATTCCCAGCCATTTTTAATTTTGACACAGGGTTTCGCTAAGTTGCTTACTACCTTACTAAGTTGCTGAGGCTTATAATCCTCCTCCCTCAGCCTCCTGAGTCACTGGGATTACGGGTAGGCACCACTGTGCCTGATTCATTTTTATTATTATTTTTTAAATTTTGAGATAGTATCTGGCTAAGTTGCTGAGGCAACTTAGATCCTCCTGTATCAGCTTCCTGAATAGCTGAGATTTAGGTTTGTGCCATTGCATGCAGCTGTATTCTCTGATTTTTAAAAAATATTTTGGTTCGTTGTTGATGGACCTTTTTTTTTTTTTTTTTCTAATTTATTGATATGTGGTGCTGAGAATTAAACCCAGTGCCTCACACATGTTAGGCAAGTGCTCTACCACAGAGCCACAACCCCAGCCCTGTTCTCTGATTTTTAAAGTCTTTTATTATCCAATGACTTCACAAATTAGGTGGGATTTAAGTGTTATAGTGTTGTTAATTGCCTCAAATTCTTTTCCAGATGAAGCAAAACATAAATAAAGAAAAATGTCATGCTTCTTTTTTAAATGTAGTTAAAAAAAAAAGTCATAAACAATAGAAGTAACTTACACTGAATTATCCCCAGTCTTGATACCATTGTCCATGTGCATGTTCAGTTCTTCAAACATAAGTAAAGCTGATTATTTTGGTCTTCACAATGTCTCTGAGGCTTGCCCTGTTGGAATAGACCTGATGGCAGCTTTGTACCTTGGCAGGAGCTTGTTGCTATTCAGGCAGCCAGAACTGCCCTACAGACTAATGAATTGAGCTGTGAAGAAATCAGAATTTCCAAATAAATTTTGGTCTTTCTGTTCTGAAAATATTGCTGAAGACATAGGGGGTCTCTGTGAAAAGTAGGAGACTATGATCAGGAAAAAGTTGTTCTAATAATGTGTTAAGGAGAGAGGTGGGCTGGGGATGTGGCTCAAGCGATAGTGCGCTCACCTGGCATGCGTGCGGCCCGGGTTCGATCCTTAGCACCATATACAAACAAACAAAGATGTTGTGTCTGCCGAAAACTAAAAAATAAATATTAAAAAATTCTCTCTCTCTCTCAAAAAAAAAAAAAAAATCCCCACTGATTTCTTCTAAACAAAAAAAAGGAGAGAAGTGAGGAAGAATGGTTGATTTTTTTTTTTTCTTCTTCTTCGATTTTTTGAGTTGTATATGGACATAATACTTTTATTTTATTTATTTTTATGTGGTGCTTAGGATTGAACTCTGTGCCTTACACATGCTAGGCCAGTGCTCTACCACTGTACCCCTGAGCTCCAGCTCCAGCCCCAGAATGGTTGAGTTTTAAGGGTCATAGAGGGGGAAGGGACTTTGAAGATAACATGGAATACCTGTTGCAAGCCTGAATTTTGCTAGGGGATCCTAAGCAATTTGGATTAAGGAGCAGTAAATCCATCACTTTCTAGGAAACTAGTAGCCTTTTATTGTAGGTGATTCACTTAATTTTGAGCACTGTGTAGTAGTTTCTTCTGAAACTGGTGAGGACCTTGGAGTGGTGGGACATAAGCAAAATTTCTTCAAAGGATATTAGGTGAAGAATCAAGAAATTATGGGTGTTAAGGTAGGCAAATTTCTCAAGGATCAAGAATAGGACTTGTTTTCCTCTTGGTTACCAAGGAGCATCATTGGAACCATTTTTGAATGTGTGCTTCATTTTTCCCATTCTTTTTTTTTTTAAATATATCTTATTTTTTTAGTTGTAGTTGGACACAATACCTTTATTTTATTTATTTATTTTATGTGGTTCTGAGGACTGAACCTAGGGCCCTGCACATACTAGGAAAGCGCTCCACCACTGAGCCACAACCCCAGCCCATTTTTTTCCCATTCTTAACATAGTAGGTCAGAGATAAGATCATAGAGATGTTTATCTTTTGTTATGCATAATCATGTGGAATTAGGATAGATATTATGGAAGTTGAGAGAAATACTACCTTGAACTATCTGAAGGTTTAGGGTTGCTGGGACTTTAAGCAAGGGCATTATGAAGGGAGTTATATAAGAAAAAAGGACTTTGAAATGTTGTATATAAGTCAGCAAGTTCTAGAAATTCCTGAGCTCTGCATTGGCTTGTTGAGTCCTACTTTGTTCTTATAGATAGATGAATGGTCTTGCCACATAACTTTCCCATACACAGTAAAACAGACAATTTGGATGTGTCTGTCATTTCTAGAATACTATATCTTACCTAATATAATATGCATTTTTTCTTGTTTTACACACCTGTTTTCTAGGTGTGCTGATAAAGCATATAATATAAGCAGTTAGATGGCATGTAGTCCATTTTTTTTTTTTTAAACTGACTTAACTAATGAGAAAATTGAGGCCTAAAGAGAGTCAGTAACCGTTCAGGATCATACTGATAATAGTGAAAAGCTGATTCTGGAATCCATATTTTCTGGCCCAGAAAGGCCCTCATGTAACTCCTTTAATTCAAATTTGTCATCATTCCAAGAAGAATTGTTAAGAAGTATCATACACTTCTTTTTTTTTGGTACCAGGGATTAAATACAGGGATGCTTTAATACCATATCCCCAGCCCTTTTATATATATATTTTTTTAGAGACAGGGTCTTGCTGAATTGCTTAGGGTCTCACTAAGTTGCTGAGGCTAGCTTTGAACTCACAATCCTCCTGCCTCCAGGTTCATTTATATACTTAATGCATGCTAGTTATTGTACTAAGCATTATATAGCTGTCATCTTAATTAATTCTCTTAACAATTCTATGAGGGTTGTCAGTACTAAATTTCATAGTTGAAAAAATTGAGTCTTGATGAGTTGCCCCAGAAAACACAGCTAAAAAATGGCAGAACAAGATTTTTGGTCCAATTCTGTCTCGTTCTAAAGCCTGTGTTCTTTTTCTTTTCTTTCTTTCTTTATGAATGTGTCACCAAAACAACAAAAACAAATACCCATCACTTAACTTAAGAAATTAAAAGTGTTACCTGTCCCCAGGAACAGTGGCACATGCCTGTAGTCTCAGAAGCTCAGGAGGATGAGACCAGAAGAATCACAAGGTTGAGGCCAGCCTGGGCAATTCAGCAAAACCCAGTCTCAAAATTAAAAAAAAAAAAAAAAAAAGTTACCAATCAGTTGAAACTCTCTTTTGATTTTGTTATCTTCTTTCCCTTTTCAAATCTGTGCTGTTAACCAATAAGCTATGCAGCTGCATTTTACTAAGGGCCAAGTGCCTTGTGATTTGCTGGGAGTGAGGGAGTGAACAAGAAAGACATATTCTCTGTCCTTGAGGAGTTTCCTATGGGTGATAGTTAAATAATTATTCCTTATCTTCTTGGAAATGCTTAATAGCTGGTTTGGGTAGTCCTTCAGGAAACCATTGGTGTGATTGAAGGTTGCCTAGGCACAACACATTCCTAAGACAGTGTTGTGTGTTGGGGATTGAACACAGGTTTTCTTATATGCTAAGTTCCTTCTCTACCTCTGAATTACACCCCCAGCCCTTAAATGAGTTACTTGATTTCTTGCTATGTTTAAAGACTTCTAGGAGAAGTAGATCTTTTGGTTTTTCCCTCCTCTCCCCTATTGTCCCCTTCTTTGCTTTTAAATAGAGTGGTTGAACATACCTCTTTTATGGTGATTTTTTTCTGTGTTTTTAATATTTTCCATATTATTCCCATGTAGTATGTAAGGCTAAAGTTTGTACTTAGGAGACAACCAGGTAAATAATTATCAAATGAACTAATAGTTTGAGTTCTACACAAAAAAGATGGATCATGTAGACATATAAGTTAATATTCTTTGTATGTTCTTTTAGTGTTTTTCCTTGTTAGGTCCAGGGGATGAGTGTGTGTGTGTATATATATAACTACTCTTTTTGGATAAAAGATGTGCTACAATGTTTTGCAGGTTTTTGAGATATAATTACTTTATTATTATTTTGTTTTTATTTTTAGTTGTAGATGGACACAATACCTTTATTTTTATTTATTTATTTTTATGTGATGCTGAGATTGAACCCAGTGCCTCACATGTGCCAGGCAAGTGCTTTACCACTGAGCTATAACCCCAGCCCCCATAGATTACTTTAATAAATACAAAATTTTCTTTCTCTTTGTGTTCTGACACTAATTCTCTGATATCTACTGGGTGTACTACAGTTCAGTTCAATTTTTTGGGGGGCCAACGGGGGATTGAATTCAGGGGCACTCGACCACTGAACTACCACCCCAGCCCTATTTTGAATTTTATTTAAAGACAGGGTCTCACTGAGTTGCTTAGTGCCTCACTATTGCTGAGGCTGGCTTTGAGCTCGTGATCCTCCTGTCTCAGCCTCCTGAGCCGCTTAGTTCCTTGCTAAATTGCTAAGGCTGGCCTTGAATTTGCAATCCTCCTGCCTCAGCCTCTCAAATCAATAGGATTACAGGTGCACCACCATGCCTGGATAGTACTAATTTTCTATTTCTATCTGTACTTCTATGCTAATGAGAATTCTACTACATGGAAAACTTTCCCTTCTGATTCATATATATTTATGGACTCATGGATTTCTATTTTATGAATTATAACCCACAATCATAATTATTTTGGAGGTTTAAATTGCTCCATTTTACTTTTTTTGGTACTGAGGGTTGAACTTAGAGACACTCAACCACTGAGCCACATTCCCAGCCCAATTTTTTAATTTTATTTAGAGACAGTTCCCCAAATTGCTTAGCACCTCTCTTTTGCTGAGGCTGGCTTTGATACTCCTGCCTGAGCCTCCCGAGCTGCTGGAATTACAGGCCTGCACTATCATGCCCAGCCCCATTGTACTTTTCAAAATCATATTTATGCAGGTATAAATCAACACATGTAATATGACTACGTTTTTGAAATTTTTTTTAGTTGAAGATAGACACAATACCTTTATTTATTTATTTGTTTGTTTGTTTATTTATTTATTTAATTTAATTTTATTTTTTTGTGGTACTGTGGATTGAACCCAGTGCTTCATACATGCTAGGAAAGCATTCTACCACTGAGCTATAACCCCAGCCCCTATGATCACATTTTATAATTATGAATGTGGATAGGAAAAATCCTGCAAGAATATAAACACCAGGCTGAGGTTGTGGCTCAGCAGTAGAGCTCTTGCCTAGCATGTGCGAGGCCCTGGGTTCGATCCTCATCACCACATAAAAATAAATAAAATAAAGGTATTGTGTCCAACTACAACTAAAAAATAAATATTAAAAAAAAAGAATATGAACACCAAGAATGGTTATCTCGGAAGTAAAAGTAACTGTAATTATTTGTTTTTTCATATTTTCTAAAATAAAAGTTTTACTACTAGAAAAGGTCAATAAATACTATTTTAAAAATAATTTTTGATAGTAAAAATTGGCTTGTTCTAAACTTACAGATGGTAACTGAAATTTATCTAAAGAATGTCAGGTTATGTGTATTCTTTGGCCAGGTGCAATGGCATATGACTATAATCCCAGCCTTGGGAGGCTGAAGCAGTAGGATCACAAGTTCAAAGTCAGCCTCGGCAATTTAGCGAGGCCCTAAGCAGCTTAACAAGACCCTGAAAATTTTAAAAAGGGATGGGGATGTGGCTCAGTAGTTGAGCAAACCCTTGGTTCAATCTCTGATACAAAAAAAAAAAAAAAAAAAAGTGCTACTGGAGAACTATAAATGGCAGGTAAGAGCTGAGGCAATTTAAAAATTCCAAAATTATTTTGCTCAATTTGTTTTTAGTAAAAATTGTTTTTGAAATCAAATAACATTAGAAAGTGTGATATACAACATGATACATCTGGTCTTTGTCCCCAATTTCTGGCACAGAGCTTCAAAATTGCTTTGAATTTCCTAATGATAGGAGTGTTTTTGTTATGAATAATGAGCCCCTTCAACCATACTTGAGTTCATCCTATTGAGGTAACTCATTCATGAAGGGGGTTAGTCACCAGAAAAACCAAGTCCCCCAAGGATGAATGAGGGAGTAATGTTTGAATTCAACCATATTAACCAATGATTTAATCAGCCACATCTACATAACAAGACCCCCTATAAAACCTCTGAGCATCAAAGCCCAGGAGAGCTTCCTGGTTGGTGAACATGTCAATGAACCAAGGTGGTGGCACACCCTAACTCCATAGGAAAGAAGCTCACAGGATGTTTACATGGTTTCAAAGGATCTCCTTCCAAGATACTTATTAATTACCAAAAGAAAAATAATAACTCTCCTATGGAGAAACCTCAGACATCACCATATCCAAGTGATCTAGCTAACATCCCCAGTCATGGGGCATCATCTGCTGTCTGCTGTGATGCACTGAGAAAAACATACTGGGATATTCCTGCCCAAAGGTTTAAAAGAATTTTAAATGTTAATGTTAGGAAAGACAAGAAAGGAAGGAAGGAAGGAAGGGAGGGAGGGAGGGAGGAAGGAAGGAAGGAAAAGAAAAGAAGAAAAGATTTAAGAAATTCTTTCAGGGCTGAGGCTGTAGCTCAGTGGCAGAGTGCTTGCCTAGCATGCATGAGGCCCTGAGTTCAATCCCTGGCACCACATAAACAAACTAAACAAACAAAGTAAAGGTATTGTGTCCATCGACAATTAAAAAAAAAAAATAATATATATATATATATATATATATATATTTTAAAGAAATTCTTTCAGATTGACAGCAAAAGCAACATTTGCTCTTAGACCATAAAAAATAAATCCTTTTCTGTAAAGGATAATGGTCAGACACATGAAATAATAGTATTGTGTTTGTGGTTAATTTCCTACTGTTAACAATATACATTGGAGTTTGCTTTCAGGAAATATGTGCAAAGATGTACTTATTTTCAAAGGGTCTTATGTAAACCTATTTGTAATAGATACAAATAAAGATATATAGAGAGATGGGAGAGGGGGAAAATGATAATATAAATATGGTAAAATGATGTTAGTATGTGAGGAATCTGAGTAAAAGACATGAATACTTTGTATTCTGCAATTTCTTTGTAAATCTGAAATTTTTCAAAATAAGTTTAATAAAGTAAAATTGAACAAGATCTGGTTGCCAATGAAATGGTGACTTGCATAATCGTTGTTTATTTATTTTGCTATATGAGGGATCAAACCCAGGACACTTTACCACTGATATACATCCCCAACCCCTTTCATTTTTTTTATTTTGAGACAAAGTCTTCCTAAATTGCTGAAGCTGACCTTGAACCTGTGCTCCTCCTGCCTCAGTCTCTTGGGTAGCTAGGATTGTAGGGGTACATCGCTCTGCCCTGCTAAATTAGTGAATATTTTAATTATACTATGTGATATTTGTTTATGTATGTGATATGCTGATATAGTCACCATTTCCTGTCTATATTATTAAGTTTTATTAGCAATTTTTTGGAAAATATAGCATAAGAGAAAGCATTGACTTTGCAATCTGCAGATAGATCTGCAACTAATATTTTTGTAACATCTTGAGAAAATTTTGTCTGTAGGTCCCAGGTTCCTTATCTGAAAATTTTGTGAAGAGCTATGTAATTTGGCATTGCTGCTAGGTTCTAGCAATTCTGTGATCATGGCTTTGGACTCACTGATGTAGTAGGAACTCAGTCACACTTTATGGTCAACCACTTGAAAAAGGCCCAGCCCTTCTCACACAAGAGAAGGTTTGTAGAAATCAGAGCTGGAAAACATCTATTAAAACATCTAATCTGTCTGTCCACTAGTACTCAGTTGTTCATAGCAAATCCTCTGCTATTTTGACCAGTACTCATTCTCCTTCCTGTGGTGTAACCATTGATTATAGCCCTTTCCTTTAGTCATCTAGGAAGAGATTGTGATTGTTCTTAACTCTAAAAATATCTATTCTTTCATATTTAGACTTTACTTTTAAAAATTATAATTTGCTACTATGGCAGAGGCTAATAGGCAAGTTGTTTCCTCTGGAATCACAAAAGAGTTTAGATGATAAACAATTGAATGTCTAATAAAAGTAATTACATGATAATAAAAATTATGTAAATACAAGTCAAATTTCAGAATAAAAATCAAGATTTTAAAGATAATATATTTAAAATGGAAAATGTAACAGGATTTTTTTTTTTGTTTTAAATATATTTAAAAAGAAAGAATGTAGGAATGTAAAGAAATAAAGCACTGGTATTCTGTTGATGAAGATATAAATTGGTTTATTTTAGAAATAATTTATCTATTAAAAACAAAAATCATGCATCATAACTAAAATTCTTAAATTCCACTACAAGGAAATTATTTTGTAAAAATACTAATTACTGCATTGTTTGTAAAAGTGAACATTTGGATTGTTTCCAAATACTTTCATTAAAGTGACGATTTTTATTTTCACAGCTAGAGTTGGGAAGGCATCATTCATTATGTCTTAGTTAGTGAACAATTTCCAGAACAATCCAAATGTTCACTGTTGGGAAATCACATTAATAAATTATAAAACTTTATACAATGGATTCTTATATAGAACTCCCAAAAATAACGTTGGAGGTTTTTTAATATTGATATGAAACAGATTTATTATTACTATTTTTTAAAAATTACAGATATATATATATATATATATATATATATATACACACATACATACATATATATATGTATGTACATGTTTATGTATGCTTTTAAATATTTTATTAAATTTGGATGCCTTTGATTTTAGCTAATAAGTAATATATTTCCTCTCTGGCTGCTGGATTTGAGCTTATATAGAACCAAACACTTTCATTAAAGTGATGATTTTTCTTTTCACAGCTAGAGTTGGGAAGACATCACTCATTATGTCTCTGGTCAGTGAAGAATTTCCAGAAGAGGTAAACATTTTGATTTCTTTTCCATATTTAGAATTTTTTTAAAAATTATCAAAAGTAAGGGCTGGGGTTATAGCTCAGTGATAGTGCGCTTGCCTCATGCATGTGAGGGGTTTGATCCTTAGCACCACACAAAAATAAATAAAATAAAGTTATTGTGTCCATCTTTCTTTTTTAAAAAAAGTAAGAGCTGGAATAGTGGCTCAGTGGCAGAGAGCTTGCCTCACATGTATGAGGCACTGGGATTCATCCTTATCACCACATAAACATAAATAAATAAAGGTATCCATCTACAACTAAAAAATATTTTTAAAAATTATCAAAAGTAAGTTAAAGTGAAATAACTCTTACTTTTAAAAAAATGTTTCCTTTTCAACAGTTGAAACTTTTTTTTAGTTGTTGATGGACTTTTTATTCATTTATTTATATGTGGTGCTGAGAATCAAACCCAGTGCCTCACACATGCTAGGCAAGCACTCTATCTCTGAGCCACAACCCCAGCCCCAGATGAAACTTTTTAAAGGTTTATATTAGTTTATAGAGGCATATCTGAGAAAGAATCAACTAGATCTAAGTTTACCAAGTCCTTTGTGTTTCCTGCTTTTGACCTTGTCTAGGACATTTGTCATCTTGGTGCCTTAGTTGTCTCATCTGTAAAATGGAAGTTAAAAGAGATAATGAGATTGTATAACTCATTCTTAAAAATAAAATGTTACTTATAAGCCCCAAATATAAAAGAGATGATGAGTATTCTGTGAGTTGAAATTAGGGTGAAAAATCTGGATCTCTGCTTGTTTTCCACTGCCCACTCTTTTGAGTGTTTTTGCAGAACCACTAGAATTCTAACACACATATTTGGAAACATTTATCTACCTACCTCATTTTACAAATGAAGAAACTAATTCATTCTTCCTTTGCTCACCTAAAAGAATTGTTTTGGATCACAAATGAGATGAGCTTAGTAATAGTGAAGTGCCACGAAAAATCAGGTGGTTTTATTATGACTGACAGTATATATTTATTTCCACTTTCAAAGTTCTAGTGTGAGAGGCTGCTAGCTAAAAGTTAGGCTATTGCTATGGGGAATGGGATAAGTGGAATAGAATGAAAATGATTTCTGTTTTTTTTTTTCTTTACATAATATTATTATTAGTAACACAGTTTGCATTTACCCCTTCTTTGCTCTTTTTTAGGTAGAAATAACTGTGTAATTTCATTGTTCAGGTAGAAATTTGATGTATCTTGTGTTAGTTTTTTTTGGTGCTGGGAATTGAATCCAGGGCCTTGTGCATGCTAAATATGTACTTTCCCACTGAATTACATTTCCATATGATAGTGTTTTCAACATCCACAACAACCATATGACCATTCATTGTTTCTTTTGCTTCCTGCCCCCTTAAATAAGATAGTCAAATAAGTAATTACTTAGTTTGAGAAGTGAAGTATATTTTCATTTGTGGAATTGTTAACATTAATTTATAGTCAGTTGGGAAAGAGGTATAATACCTAAAGGTTTTCTGCAAAAATTTGACTTAGTTTAGAACTATTTTAGCATTGCCCTCCTGAGTATGGATAAGAGATTTTTAATTAATTTAAAAATTATATAGTCTTGGGCTGCAATTGTAGCTCAGTGGTAGAGCGCTTGCCTTGCAAATATGAGGCACTGGATTTGATCCTCAGCATCACATAAAAATAAATAAATAAATAAAGATATTGTGTCCATCTACTACTAAAAAATAAAAATATTTTAAAAAAAGAATTGTTTGCTAATTTCTTTCTTTTTTTTATATATATATATATAGTCTTGGGGCTGGGGATATAGCTCAGTTGGTAGAATTTAGGTACACTCTACCACTGAGCTAAGTGGTTCTTTCTTTCCAGCCCCTTTTTATTAAATTTTCATTTAGAGACAGCATCTTGCTAAGTCTCTGGGGCTAGCCTCAAACTTGCAGTTTTCCTGCCTCAGCCTCCTGAGTCTGTAACTACATATGTGTGCCAACATGCTAACTGAAAAATGAGATTATTAAGCATATGGCACATTAGGCAGCCAACTAGTTAACTTCTAGAAGTTAATTTGATAATTTACTGATTAATTTAAATATTGCTTTGTTTTTTTGTGGGTTTTTTTTATTTTTTTTCAGTTCTTGAGATGGAACCCATGGCCTTGTACATTCTAGGCAAGTGTTCTACCACTTAGCTACACCTCCAGCTCCTGAAAATTGTGTTGGATTACCATAGCTCCTCGTCTGTAGAGTATCTTAGGCCTTCAATAAAATAGAATGAGAATAATATATTTTAAAAACTAATGTTTGAAACACCAAATTAATTTAAGAATTGTTTTTGTCTATATCGGATAAAAAGTGTCCTTAATATGTCTTCTACCTACATAAGTAGAAATGTGCATTGTTTTTCAAAAGAAAAACCTTTTTTAGTTTTTATTATGCTATTAAAAAATGTTTTTACCATATGTTTTTCATATATATTTGCATCTGTGATGAGTAAAAAAAATAAGAATTTAAAAAGTTAAAATAAGAATTTACAAGGGACTAATATAAATAAATTTATATAATCTGTTAACGAATTTGATAATATCCCCTAATTTTTTCCTTTTCTGCGTTTGTTTGCAAAAAAGGTTCCTCCTCGGGCAGAAGAAATCACCATTCCAGCTGACGTCACCCCCGAGAGAGTTCCAACACACATTGTAGATTACTCAGGTAATGGATGTCCTTTTGTAGGTGAAGCTCTAGAGTTAGTTTAATAGTCCTGAAGACAGTCTTATTGAGCTTTTAAAAATTCTCAGAGGCTGAGCAGAGTACATGTCTGTAATCTTAGCATCTTGGGAGACTGAGGTAAGAGGATCATAAGTTCAAAGCCAGCCTCAGCAAATTGGTGAGGCCCTAAACAACTTGGTGAGACTTTGTCTCAAAATAAAAAAAAATAAAAAGGGCTGGGGATGTGCTCAGTGGTTAAGTGCTCCTGGGTTCAATTTCTGGTACCAAAAAAAAAAAAAAAAAAAAATCAGAGAGAGATGGTCCTTTCTCTGTTATAGTATATGATATTCCCCTAATGTCTCTTTCAATCCGCATCCCCCATTCTACTCCCTACCTAAAGCCTCCATTTGGTAGTTCTGTGTCCCCAAAATACCAAATTGGGTTCCATAATAATAAAAAATAAGGAGGAAAATTAAATGGCAAATGATATATAAGTCATTACCCTGCTGAAATTGGCACGTTTACAGAAAGAAGTTCTGGGTCAATTTTGTTGTTATCCATTCAGGTATGTTTTGATGATTTAGAATTCTGAATTTAAGAATATATTGAATTCTGAATTTATTTTTTGTCAACTTTACTAGTCGGCTTTCTGTTACTGACAAAATACCTGAGATAACAACTTAAGAGGAGTAAATGTATACTTTGGCTCATGGTTTCAATCTATGGATGCTTGGCAAGGTTGCTTTTGGACCTGTCATGAGGCAAGCCATGATGATAAAAGCACATGATACAAAAATGTTTACCTCATGGTGGTCAAGAAGCTTAGAGAAGGGGTCTGAGACAAAATGCACCCTTCAAGGGCACATCCCCAGTGACCTAATTTCTCCAATTAGGCTGTATTTTCTAAAGTGTCCATCACCTTCCAATAGTCCATTGAGCTATGAATCTATAATTGGATTATCCATTTATTATGTCAGAGCACTCGTGATCCAGTCACCTTCAGAAGGTCTCACCTCTGAACACTGCTGCATTGAGGATCAAGACTTCAACACAGGAGCTTTGGGGGACATTTAGGATCTAAATCATATCATCAACCTTTGTCACAAATAAAATAAGTAAAACATTTGTCAACTTGCTTATATATCAGAAACACATCTATAGTGCTTTCAATAACTTAAAAACTTTTTACATAATACTACTTACATTTTATTCATTTAATTATTTCTGATCTAGAACTTTTTAGAACATGGATATAAATATAATGATAATACTTTGGATAAATTGATATTCCATATATTTTCAAAATAAAACACTATAACTGTTCTGTCCATTACCTATGGCCATTCTAAATTTTAAATGTTCTATAGCTGGGTATGGTGGCCCATGACGGTAATCCCAGCAACTCAGGAGGCTGAGACAGGAGAATCACAAGTTTGGGACCAGCTTTGGCAGCTTAGTGAGGCCGCAAGCAACTTAGGGAGACTCTCTTTCAAATTTTTTTAAACAATTTTTTTTAACATTCATTCATTCATTCATTTATTTATATGTGGTGCTGAGGATCCAACCCAGTACCTTATGTATGGTGGGCAAGTGTTCTATCACTGAGCCACAGCTCTAGCCCTCATCTCTCAAATTTAAAAAATAACAAAAAGAGCTGGGGATATAACTCAGGGGTAGAGTACCCCTGGGTTCAAATTTATTTTTTAATTTTTAATTTTTATTTGTAGGTGGACACGACTTATTTTATTTATTTATTTTTATGTGGTGTTAAGGATTAAACCCAGTGCCTCACACATGTTAGACAAATGCCTTAACACTGAACTACAACTCCAGCCCTGGTTTCAATTCTCAGTACCAAAAAACAAACAAAAAATAAAGTGCTATAAATTTAAAATGCGGGGCTGGGGAAGTGGCTCAAGCGGTAGCATGCTCGCCTGGCATGCGTGCGGCCCGGGTTCGATCCTCAGCACCACATACAAACAAAGATGTTGTGTCCTCCAAGAACTAAAAAATAAATATTAAAAAAAAATTCTCTCTCTCTCTCAAAAAAAAAAAAATTTAAAATGCAAGTATATTTTTAAGTGTTAGCATAAAAAATGTAAAAGTATCTCATTAATTTTTCTATTGAGTGGGAGTTTTAATTTTTTTAATTTAATTTTTTATATTTTGGGTTAAATAAAAATTAATTTTACCCCTTTTATTTTTATTTTTTTTTTTGGTATTGGGGATTGAACTCAGGGGTGCTTGACCACTGAGCCACATCCCAGCCCTGTTTTATGTTTTATTTAGAGACAGGGTCTCACTGAGTTGCTTAGCACCTTGCTTTTTGCTAAGGCTGACTTTGAACTTGATCCTCCTGTCTCAGCCTCCCAAGCTACTGGGATTACAGGCATGCGCCACCATGCATGGACTCTTTTTACCTTTTTAAAGATAACTACTAGAAAATTAACAATTACATATGTGGCTTGCATTGTATGTATGTTGAACAGCAGTATACTAGAAATTGAAGCCTCACAACTAGCTTTATTTATAGAATTATTCTTTTTTGATACACACAGCCTTATAATTTGATTAATTTAATTATTAGAATTGAAGCCTTGTTGACTACTCAACATATGGAAAAATATTAAATATACAGCCTTTTTTTTTTTTTAGCATAGTATAACATACCATTACTAGTTTCTTTGTGAGGAATAACAGGCATTTGGGGGGAGACATGTAACCTAAAATGATCTAAATTAATTGCTCTTGATTTCTTTGCTTCCTCGTCCTAGCTCTATCATGTATACCCTTTGAGAGCAGTTCTGGCTAGAAATATGTGCTTGATTCTTCATTGTCATGCTATAGTTTTGCTTCTGGGTCCTGGTTATTATTTCTTCTACCTGCTATCTAGATTGTAAGCTTGTATTGACCAGATTCTCACCTGGCCTTTTGGACCCTAT